TGTGTGTGTGTGTGTGTGTGTGTGTGTGTGTGTGTGTGTGTGTGTGTACGTGGGGTGTGTATAAACTCATCATTACATCCTTGTGAAACAACCACTGTTTCCAATCAATGCCCGTCAGTGCAGCACAGTGATGATTAAACCACAGTCATGACCTCATCACCTCGAGGGATGGCTGGGAAAACTCTGCCAGATCAATGGAAGTTTTATTCACCCATAAATCACCATCAGCGATACAACACACACTCGTGCAGTGCGGTTAGACCCCGTGAATGGGGAAGTAAATCTGTGAGTCAGTGCATCACTGTGCTTGTTAGAGCCAAGCGACATGTCATAATGCTCATATACAAATGTATAGGATTTCCATAAACCTACACACAGATGTGAGGCACATGCAGACGTTGGCATCAGAGGACTTTGACTCAGTTTTAGGTGACGGTAAAGTGAAACACAGATTAGCCTGTAATGTGTGCTTTCCAGGTGCCCTGCAGCCGGCCGCTCCCCAAATCCTGTTAACAAACAACAAGTCAAAGCCTGAAGACAATCAGCACTCCGCCCCATGGGGAGTGAGGCTAATGTGACACGGAGCCTTGTGATGTGGATTGTCACGTCTGTGAGAGTGATCACCCTGAATGTAAAACCATGCTATCCTGCCGGAGTTTATTTTCACACACCACTGATAATTAGATAGACATGTCACTTAATCAGTTAATGGAATCCCAAATGTGAATGTATCTCAACACAGAGCTGGATTATGGTGATGCGTGACCCTTCACACAGTTGTCATTGTGTTTAGGGCTTCTGGCTTGAATTAACATTTACTGAGAGGTATTTGATGGTAATGCTGTAAAAAAAAAAAATGGTTCCAAGTTGTTTTATTTTGTACCACATAAATGAGTGCAAGACTTTAAGGAAAGTTTTCTTTTCTACTGCATCTTTAAAGAAAAGAAATACATTTCAAGAGTTATTGGTCAGTTGTTGTGTAACTGCAGCTCAGCAAGGTGTCAGGTGAAACTTAAACTTTCAGAATAAAAAGCTAATTTAAATAGCAACTTTGGAATATACAGGCTCATTAGTGTAATGTGGACTGCTGATGCCTCATAGCTTCGGCTAAACTTTATAGATTTTTGCAGTGTAGACTTTCCCCCCCTCATCTCTTACACTTTACGGCCAGTATGGAGAGAAGGAATGCAAGTTTGTCCAATATTCACTCTCCTTTAAATTCTGTGTTTGGTCTCCACCAACTCCTGGTGGAAATATTTTGTATTTTTAGCTGCTTAAGTTAATGTTCCACTATGTTCACCAGCTATGTCTGTCTGCCATTTGGTGCAGGGCAGGTATAGTGTTTTATGGGAGCTTTTTTGCTGAAAACAGCCCGTTGCATCTCTAACCAACGCTGATGAGAGCAGTGAGACTGAACCAGACATGAGTTCAAACTTGCTGCCAAGTAATTTGTCTAATTAGCGATCTACTGTACATACATATAGCCATTTGATCCATTGTTAATATCAATTAATATTGATTATTGCCGCTTTAACGTACTTGCATTGCTCTTTTTCCACATGTTTTAGCTTTCCTTACAGCTCCTTATAACCTCTGCCAAGGGGCCTGGACTCCTCGCCCCTGACCTAATACCACTTCCATCTCATATCATCCCCAGCATGCTCTAATTGAAATAGCCTGAAATAGCCCAAGGACTGCCCCTGTGTGATCTATTCAGTAAGAGGTGAAGGTCTACAACAACACACTAAGATGTACAGCGACAGGTCTTTAATCCTCACTCCTTGTCGTGTGAGAGTGACGGCAGACTAATTAAAATATCTGAGACCACAGAGCTAATTAATAACAGAGATAAGTCCCCTCCAGAAAACTTTCATACCACAGGGACTCAGAGGCCTTTCAAACTCATTTCAGATTCTAATTTCAAAAGAAAAAGACCTGTGGCAACATTTTTGTACTTGGTTTGGATGCACTGTTTGTAGCCTCCTGACCTTGAATTAATTACTCTATTTTCATAGTTTGTATTTCCACTCATCCTCTGTTGCAACATGTGTGTTTTGATTTATGACTGATTCAGATGGTGGGAGATGCCCATTCATCATTTCAGTAGCATCAGAGCACGGGGTGAATAAAATGCCTTCCAAAGCCATCTTGTGATTAGACTGCACACGCTATAAAAACCACAATTATGGGTTAGGGCGTGCATGGCAGCTATAGATATGCCATTAGGGTTTAAAATTGTTACTCATTATACAAATAAAGTCAATTAAGGGTTGTTATGTAAATTGATTCCTCTGTGTTATCGAGTCCTCTAACAAGAGTTGAACACAGCAGCTCCTCTTGCCTGTGTTACCTGAGCCGTTCAGCATGTGGTCTTCACAGGTCCCATAATCGTGTCCATGTTGATTTGTTTTCTTAAAGAAAGGGAGTAACAGTTCATTCTTGACCTTGGAAATGCTAGTTTGACAAAATAAAAGTAAGCCTAATAATCAGTTTGGGGTCCTTGAAACATAGTCCACACATTTGTCTTACATCGTTTTATTAACTTCATACTTGGGGACTTTTCCTGATTTTATGAAAAATGCTTATAAACACCCTCTGCTAGAGGAATTATTTCTTTTTGGGGTCTCAGCTGTTTGACTGAAAAGTAAAGCTTTAGACCTCTCTGCGATTTAATTGACCACAAACATAATGTAACACCACTATGTACTGTATCATAACACACATTCTATTTTGTTTGTGAATAACCTTTTGGCCTCCAAAAGCAATTTGTGAATGCATCGCCCATATAATGCTTGAAAGTTTGAGCAAAGTTTGTAAAGAACATTTCATGGGCTTCATTTTGCGCATTTAGTCCACAGTGAAAATAAATGGGAAAGACTGAGATGAGTGGCAGCTGTCCTGGATCAGATACAAACCAAGTGTATCACAGTTGTGACTTCAAAAGGATGCTGGATCAATCTGATGGGTGGCAACAATATGGAGGACTAGAGGAAAAAACAGCTGCATTGATTAAGTTGATTTTCTTCTGACTTTATGTTTGCTAAAAAGGTTGAAAGACTGGAGTAGAGTTCTGCATCTGCAGTGAGACGCTTTGTCCAATGGAGGGCAGCAGACCTACATCCAACCTTTATAGAGTGCTGGCAGTTCCTCAGATGTTGTCATAGCTCAGGTGAGCTAGAGACTCCACACTGAGGTGAAAGTGCTGTGAAATGTGCAGGGTATGTGTCATTATATACACAGGAAAAACTGGAATTGCCGATGGTAAATTTATGGGAGTGTGCATAAAAAGTAAACACGTTAAAACATGTGATTGTATTTAGATTTGTGTCAGAACATGTTTTATTGCATACATATATAACATAGCTTCACAATTCTGAAAGCGACATGAATAGAATGCACAAACAGCAAGCGGGGGATTTTCTGTTGACATCTTGCTGGATGAGAATTCAGTATTGTTCAAACTGAAAGAATGAAGACAAAAGCCTGTTGTCTCGCGTCAAATGCCATTATATTCATCAAGGAAGCAGGAGCGGTCTGGAGAGAAACTGATAGACATTGTGCCGTACACTTTTTCAACCAAACTGATTACAAAATGAAAAAAAAAATAGAGCAAGAGAACACATGATGTGCAGAAAACAGAAAGAAGAAGTAGAAAATAAAAAAAAAGAGATAGAGAGTAGAAGACACAGGGTCTTTCATCGAGCCCACAATGCCAGCCTTTCATGCGTGGAATTTGGCCATCATTAATAATACATACAGCTCTGTCCAGTGCGGTACAGTTGACTGCTGGGGGTTAAAGTTGAGGGTTGAGAGTCACAGTAACCATCATCATCACAGAGAAGAGCCTGACAAT